AGGAGAGAGAGAGAGAGAGAGAAAATGGCGGATAAAAACGAATAAAAAATTATTTATTATTTATTTTAAATAGGAATGAAGTTTTGGGAGGGTGAGGTGGTAGGAAGGAAGGTGAGAGGGGGGAGGGGAAAAAGGGAAAAATTTCGAAATTGAATTTTGTACGAGGACAAAAATCTTTGAAATTTGAAATTGAAAACGAAATTTTTTTTCTAAAGTTTTTACACGAAAGAATGAAAATTATTATTACTCATAAAATTCTCTCTCTCTCTCTCTCTCTCTCTCTCTCTCTCACAAAAAAGGATTTCGTTTCGCACGATTTTTTAATTTGTATAATTAACGTTTTGAAAATTAAAAAAAAATTTTTTTGATTAATCTGTCGTTTACACGACGACATTATTATTAATATTAATATTATTATTATTATTATTATTATTATTATTATTATTATTATTATTATTATTATTATTATTATTATTATTTTTAAACGTACTCGACAAAATTCAATCCGCAAAAAAAAAAAAAAATTTTAATTATCATATACGATGATGATGTCGCGTGGTATGGAACAACAACGGATTTATTTGTATCGAAAAATTATTTTTAATCGAACGATTATCGATTAATTCGATTAATCGATTAATTAATCGCGAATTTATTAATATAAACAACTAATTATTATTAAAAGGGTGTACAAATTTATTTATTTATTTCGAAACGACAAAATTATTATTTTATTTTTTAAAAAGTGATGGGTGGAAGTGGAGGAGGAGGAGGAGAAGAGAGAAGGGAATGGAGGAGGGAGGGGAGAGGAGAGGGGAATAAATGTTTAATGTGAGGTCGTTAAAGTTCAAGAAAAAAAATAAAAATCAATACTATGGTGTCAAAATCGTTTTTTTCTAAAAAAAAAAAGATTGCATTAGGTGAAATTAAAACCCGAAAGGTAATCGGAGTAACCTTTTTTCCTTTCGATATTTTTTGTTGTTATCATGAAAAAAAGAAAGATAATGATAATAAAAAAAAAAGAGATGATAATATATATTAGAAAAAAATTTTTTTTTGTTTTGTTTTAACGTGATATTGTATACGGTAAAGGAATTTTTTTTTCTATGTGGAAAAATACAAAAGGTTTAATAATTTCGACTATGTAGAAATAAATAATTTATAAATTATGGTTTAAATTTTGTATAGAAAAAAAAAAAATTGACAAAATTTTCTTTTTCCCCCCCCGCCCCTCTCCCCACGCTTTTTATTTATTACCCGTCAGTTAACAAGTTTTAAAATCAAATTTAACGTTTTTCCTCATTCATCCTCTCTCTCTCTGTTTTTTCGTATTTGAAATTTTTTTCGAAAAAAAAAAAACAATTTTATCGTTCGATATATTTTTTTTTTTTCTCTATATATACACACACGATAAAATTACTTATCGTTAACATTTGATGCGTGGAAATGTGTTGCTTCGAATGATTTCTTGTATTTTTCTTTTTTTTTTTTTTCTTGATAAATAAAAAATGAAATCTCACGTTTTTCTATTCGGATTTTTTGTAGTTAAAAATAACGGGAAAAAAAAGGAATTTATATAATATTTGCGTGTTACGCAAAAGAATCGTATATACGAGCAAGCGAATGCGTGAAGGGGTCGGTTTGGGGGGGTCAGGGAGGTCGGGAGGATTTTCAATAAAATTTATGAAGTCTTTCCAAAATTTCTATTTAAAATTAGCTCTTTAAATTCAATTAAAAGTTTTTGTAAAATAAAATAAATTTTTTTTTTATTTGTTTTTGTTTTTTCAAAGCGAATAATTATTGTTTTTTTTTGCGTTTGTTCAAAAAATAAAAAAAAATCTTTGGCAAAAATCTTTCTTTATTTTATATACAAAAGCTTTTTTTTTTTTTTTTACGAAAAATAATTTCAACCTGTTTTTTTTTTCAGGTACACGTATAAAAAAAAAGGGAGAAAAATGGATTCGAAAATGAAATGAAAGAAACCATTAAAAATCTTTTTTTTTTTTTTTTTTAATCGAAAAGAAATCGTAAAATGACACGGACAGTAAAAGAAAATTTTAATGATTTACTACTAATACTACTACTACTACGGGATTTATCGAGTTGAAAAGAAATTTTTTTTTTTTGTCGTATAGCAGAAGAAAATTTTAGAAAATGAGCGGAAATATAAAAATGAAATTTTTAAATCAGTTAAGTTCGAGTGATAGTAACGAAAACGCTTTGTCGGTCGGTGGAAGTACTCATAGCGATATAAATCGGGCACCGACAACAATTTCGGGTATGTCAAATAAAACGGATACGAGCGTTGCAAGTCACACTTCCGGTAGGCACAGGAAACATAGGTCTAGATCCACGACAAGATGCGAAGATAAACCGAGAAAGAAAAAACATCACATGGGAAGCGGAAGCACTTCCTTAGTATCTATTCCAAACGCTATAAAGCTTTCCATGTTAAACACGGGATTGATTTCGTTCGGTGAGTTTATATTATTTGCCTTGTTTTGTCATTTATACGCACGCACACGCACGCATGCACGCACAGGAAGCGAAATTAAGTTAAACAGTTTTACCGCGATTATCGTTTCCGTTTTAAATTCCGCGAGGGAAATGATGATAATATCGAAAGAGTGTGAAATAGGTATTAAATCTATTTAAATATTTTCATTCGTTATTTTGTCAAAAGGTTGGCAACCCTTGTTAATAAAACAAACTACGTTTGTTGGTAAACGTGTTGATTTTTTTTTTTTTTTAATTCGATGAAGAATTTCGTTGGAAAATATTTTTAACAAAAAAATAAAAAATGGCGGTTTCGCATTGACGTTGGTTTTTTAAACTTATCAAATCGTGAATGACGGTTATAAAAATTTAAAAAACAAAAGAAACCGTTACCAATCATACTCAAATCGGTTAATCAAAAAAAAAAAAAAAAGAACGAAAATCATTCGCGAACGTTGTTTTTAAATTTAAATTTAAAAAAAAAATTAAAATGCCGCCATTTTTTTTTTTTTTAAACTCAATATTTTATGTTATCGATAAAGTTTTCTTTTTTGCAAGGACGTTTATTCGAATTTGACTTACCGAAATGAAAAATTTTTTTATGTGAAAAAAACATATTAATAATAATAATAATAATTAACGGACATTTTCCCTCGCGAAAAGAATTTTTCTCTTTAAATTTTTCAAGTAAAATTTTTTTTTCCTCCATTATTTCAAGTAGTACGTCAGACATTGAATTTTTTTTTTTTTTAAAAAAAAAAAGAAAATTATTTTTAATTGGGGGGAGGGGGGCAGGAGGAAAGGGAAAAAAGGAGGGAAAAAGAAAATTATTATTTGAATTTCGGTAGTAAAAAAAAAAAAAAGAAAAAAATAATGCTTGACTAATAATAAGTTGTGACTTGAATTTTTTTTTTGGCAATGAAAGCATTTAAAAAAAAAAAAATTTTTTTTTATTTTAAATGGTTTCTGGTAAAATGCCAGTAAAACGAAATTCACTGTTTTTTTTTTTTTTTTTTAAAATTCCGATTATCCGTTAATTTTGAATAACCCTGGGACCAGGTCAATGGAACAAGGTCTTTCTTAAATGCAAACCCCCATTATATTTCGAACTTTTATATATTTTTATCAATTTTTTTTTTTTTTTTAAATTATAATCCGCCATTTTAAAGTGCATAAAGATGTGAAGAAAAAATAATAATAATAATAATAATAATAATAATAATAATAATAATAATAATAATAAATTTCGAATTTCAAAAAAAAAAAAAAAAAAAACGTGGAAAAGTATTTAATCGTGGAATTAGCGGTTATACGATTATTTTATTTTTATTTTTATTTTCTTTACATAATTAAGGCCGTTACAAACCTTTTTATTTATTTTTGTTTTGCGAAACATAAATCTTTCTAGTTCCACGTTTCTTTTCTTTTTTTTTTTTTACTTTTCTCTGTTTTTCGGTTTCAAATAACGAAGCGATAGAAAAAAAAATGCGAATTCGGCGACAAACCGAATTTTTTTATTTATTTTTCTTTCTTTTTCGCGTGAAATGCAATTCAAAGCGTCGTAACCATTTTGATTTTTTTTTCCTTTTTTTTTCTGCTGTCGTAACGTGAATAAAAAACAAACAAAGAAACAAACGAACAAACAAACACTTTTTGAAAGAATTCGTTTGTTTAAAAATTTTTAAACATTTTCATATATTTTTTTTTAAAAATATAATTTTTCTCTAATTGGTACGTAAGTAAGATGTAATCGATTAAACAACAACAATTAGTTACGAAAACAAATTGTTTTGTTTGTTTGTTTTATCATTATTATTATTATTTGTTTCACGGCAAATTATTCGTAAAACAAAACAATAAAGGAAAATTCAAATGATTTTTCCACAAAACACGGGTAAATATTTAGTAATTTCCGTTTGTTTTGAAACTTCGATTTCCGGTATTTAATTAAAAATAATTTTTATGAGGAAAACCGGAGGAACCGCTGGGAAGTATGGGGGTGGGGTGGGGTGGGGGGATGCGTGGGTGGGTGCGTGTTCACGAAGCGTGCGCGTAAGTAAATAAATCTGTTTTGTTTCAATTGATGTCGATGAAAAAAAAGAAAAAAATTTGGAAAATTTTTTATTATTAATTTTGTGAAACGACGTTTGTTTGGTTTCTGATTTGACTTTTCTTACTTAATTTTTACGAATTTTCTTCCGTTTTTATGAAAAAATTTAGTCTTTGTTTAGAAAGTCTTCTGCTAGTTGTAAAGAATTTTTTTTTTTTTTTTTTTAATCATTTGATTTTTTCGGTTTTGTGATTTCAAATCGAATGATCGATGACGTCAAGAAAGAAAATTCAAAGATGAGTAAAAGATGAATGAATGAGAGAAAGAGAGAGAGAGAGAGGAAATGGAAAAATTAAATTTATACAGAGTGACTTTCCCTTTTATGAGAAAATTAAAATTTTGTAAAAGTTCGATTTTGAACGTGGGATTGGACAAAAGAAATGAAGGTTTGCGTCTTAAACGAGCGCAAAACAATGTTGTTCGAACGTGTACATAATTTTTTTTTTTTTTTTTTAAATAAATGAAATTTATTGTTTTCATTCTATCGGAATGAGCAAATAAAGTAGTCGAAAATGATGATGATGATGATGATGATAATTATCGAGGATGAAATTTAATGAAAGAAAATGGAAAAAATAAAGTCGGAAAATAAATGAGAAAAAAAACTCTCGAACGTGGTTCGAGATTTGAAATGGGAAATAATTTAAAAGGTTTTCCCTCCATTTTTTTTTTTTTTAATTCATTTTATTGTTTTGAAAAGATTCAAATTTTGGCGGGAAAAATTTTTTTACTTGAATATGAATAAAAAGAAATTTTATTTTTTTCGTCTTTCACTCGTGAAAACTACTTATTCTTTACTTTTTGTAAATATTAACTTTTAAATTTCTTTAATTATTATTATTATTATTATTATTATTATTTTTGCTCATTATTATTATTTTCAATTTAAATTGGTTTTAAACGCATTCGTTTAAATTACGTCACTTAAAAAATTTTCCTTTTAAAGTAAATATTTTTCTTTTTCCTTTGGTTTTTGTCGTGAAAAAAAAAAAAATTGAATAAAAGGAAATAGAAGAAAATACTTGAAAAGAAAATTTTTTTTTTTATTATTAAAATGAACGGTGGCAAAGATTCATTTTAAAATTGGTGTGGAAGGAGACAAAGAGAGAGAAACAAAGAGAGAGAGAGAGAGAGAGAGAGGGAGATACTCTTTAGTTTCGTTTAATTTTAATTTTATTTCCTTTTAAACGATTCAATTTTTCTTTTTTTTTTTTTTTTTTTTAAAAAATTTACTGTGACGACAAACGGCGAACGGAAACGACGACGTTCGTAACGTTAATTTTCTCGTTAAAATTTTTTAATTTTTTTTTTTTTAATTTCTTATGTCAACTTTAAACGAGAAAATTTTAATTTTTTTAAAACGAAAAATAAAAAAAAGAGTAAATATGAGGGAAGCAAATTATTATCATTATTATTATTTTTTTCGTCGTAAAATAAACCTGGGGGACTCGTTTACAATACTTTTTATTCAATAATTTGAATTTTTCAATCAATAATCGATCGATTTTCTCGTAATTATAAATTTTCAAAAAAAAATTTGATATACCGAAACGTTTAGAAAAAAAAAAAAAAGAAAATTCTCCTTCGAGAAAAAGAAAATTCATAGGAAAGTCTAGGATAAAAAAAAAAAAAAAGGGAAAATTAGGTGAAGGATTTTGGCTCGAATTCCCCCCGTTATGTCATTCATTTCAATTATGGCTCCACATTAAAAAGAAAATTTTATTTTATTTTTTTTCTATTTCATCGAATCGTTTTTTATTTTAATACGCTAAATCATCAATAAAAAAAAAAAAAAAAATTAAGAAAGTAAAATATAACGGGGAGCGTTGAAGTGTGAAAAATGGGGAGGGGGCAATAAACAGAATTCCCCCTTCCTCCTCCCAAAAAACAAAAAAAAAAAAATTTTCAAAATAAATCATCATCAAAGATCGGCAAATTAAAACTTATTCCGATGATTTTAATTTTTTTTGGAAATTTGACAACGTTGTAAAATAGTTTTTGCAACGCTGTAATTATTGAGTAAATACACATCAAAGAATCATAAAACATAATAATGCATTTACGAAATTGAGCGGACAAAGGAGGGGACAAAAAGGAGCAAAAAAAAAGGCAAACGATTTTTTTTTTTTGATGGTGAGTTTTTAAATAAAGACAAAGAAGAGAGTTCAAATGTGAAAATGTTCAATGAATGGAAAATGAATGAGGGGTGGGGGGGATGAGAGGAAAATGATGTGATAAAAAAAGAAAATTTAAAACGAACTGGAATATTCTAATAATAATGATGATGATGATGATGATGATAAAAATGTTCAGTCAAAAATTTTTTTCCACGTGAATTTTGTTTACAAAAATAAGTCTGGTGTGTGGAAAAATACTCGGAAAATTACAAAATGGTACCACTACTACCACTCTCTTGTTTGTTGTTGTTGAAATCAAGGTATGGGAAAACAAAGATTAAGATGAAAGGATGCTGTTAGAATGAAAGTAATGGACCACAAAATAAATGTATCGAAAATTCTATTCGATTCGAATCCGGAGAGAAAGATTCTTTATCCCGATAGAAAAAAAAATTTTTTATAAAGGTTAAAAAAACGATAATAATAATAATAATAATAATATTGATAAAAATAAATAAAATGATAATAATAATAATAATAATGAGGAGAAAAAAAAAAAATGGCGAGCGATGACGAATCCGTCGCGATTCTGTAAATTTTTTTTTTTTTTTTTTTTTTGGAGTTCGATCGAAAGAGGAGTCGGTAGGGAGGGAGGGAGGAGAGAGAGGGGAAGCTGGGAGGGGGGATGAGGAGAAAGGGGGGGTAAGTGAATTTTTTTTTTGTTTTTTTATTGTTTCAAAAATTGTATATATAATTAAAAGGCTGGCGTAAATATAAACTTTTTTTTTTGAAGAAATTTATTCAATTGTAGAATTTTGGCGCCTCACCAATGAAAAAAAAAATAAAAAATGTTAAATTTTTTTGTTTTGGTTGTTGTTGTTCTGGTTGTTGATTTGCTCTACGAAGGTTTGTTTTCAGGTTTTGAAACTTTTCTGAATTTTGTTAAAAAAATAAAAAATGTGTGAGCACGAAGCGTTCGTTCGTTCGTTCGTTCGTTTGCAAATTTTAAAAAATTTTTATTCTCGTGAAAACTCACGAAATCGACTCCGGTTTTATTATTATTATTATTATTATTATTATTATTATTATTATCATCATCATCATTATTATTATATTTGAATACGAACCTTTTTTTTAAGTAAATTTCGATTATGTGAAATCGAACTCGATCGATTTTACATCGATGGGAAAATCTAAGGGGGTTAAAATTTCTAATGGACCGTGTTTTTTTTGTTCCTCCCTCCCCCTCTCTCACTCTCTCTCTTCTCCCTCTCTGGAGTTTTTTGTTCGATAATTTAAAAAAAAAAAAAATTCTGGAATTATCCAGGAGCAATAAAAAAAAAAAAGGAAAAGGAAAATTTTTAAATTTAATTTTTGTAATTTGTTTTTTTTGTTTTTTTTTTTTAAATAATAAATTTTTTACGGAAGTAAAAAGTTTTTTTTTTTTTTTTTTTTTTTTTTAAATTGTTTTGATCGTTAGAAAATTTATTGAATCGATTGCTGGGGAGAGAAAGAGAGAGAGAGAGAGAGAGAGAGAGAGAGAGAGAGAGAGTTGGAAAAAGTCGTTGGAAAATTTTTTATTTTTCCTCATTTTTTTTATTTTTAAATTTGATGACGTCATTGCTGCAGAATCGATAGAATTATAAAAATTAAGTAAATTTTTTATTTACTAAAAAAAAAAAAAAATTTTTTTTCCCGATCCGTTTCCGGTTCGTTTTGGAATCGCGAGTAAAGGCGAAAATTTATTTTAATTATTTCCGTTTCCGTTATGATTAATTTTTTTTTTACAACATGAAAGACGTTAATAATTCTATTAAAATGAAGAATTTATTAAAACATTTTAAATTTAAAAGGTTCAATTATTAGCTTATGGGGTTAATTATTTTTTAAAAATTTATTGATGGGCTCGATGAACGATAGCAAAATTTCATAGAGATTACGTAATTAGAATTTTCGAGAATAAGAGACGTAAGAAAAAATAAAAAAATTTACTGAATTCATTCATTGACTGTTTTTTTTTTTTTTTTTCAATATGAGTCACCCTGTAGATAATTTAGTTGTAAAACTTTGATATTCTTGGCCAAAATCCAATCCAGTTCGTCTGGCTCCAGGCTGCAAAAAAAAAAAAAAAAAAAAAAAAGTTTTTTTTGTTTTCGAAAAGAAAAATGAAATAAAGAAAAAAAAACTAAAAAGAAAAAAAGAAAAAAAAAAAAAAGATCACGAGGTTGTATAAGAGGAAGTTATAAAAAGGGCGGGAGAGTCGAGAGGAGAGTGAATAAGTTAAACCCAGATAAAAATTGGATTTCCTTTTACCCCCTCCATCCCTCCCTCCCTCCCTCTCTCCCACTCTTCCACCCACTCACCTTCATCCCCCTCACTTTATTTTACCTTCCTATTATTTTTTTACTCCTTTTCTCTCTCTTTCTCTTTCTCATTTTCTCCAGCAGAAAAGAATTGATTTAAAAAAAAAATAAAAAAAAAAGAAGGGGAGGGGGAAAAGAAAAGAAAAAATTTTCGCGATGCGAAATAATGATAATAATAATAATGAAAAGTTTTTGGCAAACTTTTTTCACTACCCTGGAAAAAATAAATTATATATATATATATTTTTTTTTAAAAAGTCAGTACCGAAATAATGGGGGAGTTTTTTTTCTTAAAAAAAAAAAAAAGTGGCAGAAGAAAATTTTTAGAAACGGGAAATGAATTTTTTTTTTTTTCGTTAAAAAAATAAAATTTCATTCATTAAAAAATTTTCTTTTGAAATTGACGATCACGATCGCAAATTCGCGTACGATTTTATGACGTCACAATTTTCCGTTACAAACTCCGAAAATTGCCTCAATCATAACAAAAAAAAATTTTTTTACGATATGATTCGAATAATTGGAAAATTATTATTATTATTATTATTATTTATTTTATTTATTTATTTATTTATTTGTTTTTATTACTTTTTTTTTCTAAAAGTTTTCATCCGTTAAACATTAATTAAATTTTTTCGTTTCGTTTCATTTTATTTTTTCTCGTTTTGTTTTGTTTTGCCTGCAGTAGCAGTAATAATAATAATAATAATAATGAGAGAAAAAATGTTGTTATTGCTGTTCTTAGTATTATTATTATTATTAATTTTTTTTTTTTTGACTTTTCGACGGTCGTTTTTATTATTATTATTATTATTATTATTTAACGGTTTTTCAATTTGAATTCATTTGAAATCGTTCGGTCGAAGGGGAAATTTTTTTTTTTTCGTTTCTCCCTTTCCTCCCCCCCTTTTGTAAATATTGTCGATTACAAATGTTTTCGGTTTGTTGTTCGGTGAGAAATTACGCAGCGAAAAAACGAAGAGTTTTTGGTATAAGGGAAAAAACAAAAAGAGAGAGAGATAAAAAGAGAAAGAGAGAGAGAAAGAGAAAGAAAGAGAGAGGGAGAGAGAGAAAGAGGAAGAGAGAGAGAAAGAGAGAAAGAGAAAGAGAAAGAGAAAGAGAGAGAGAAAGAGAGAGAGAGAGAGAAAGAGAAAGAGAAAGAGAGAGAGAGAGAAAGAGAGAGAGAGAAATAAAAAAAGAATTTTTTTAAAAACAAGATTTAATTTTTTGAATTATATCCAAGTACACAACCGCCGACGAAACCAACAACGTACGTGAGAGAGATAAAAAAGGGAGAGAAAGAGAAAGAGAGAGAGAAAAGGGAGAAAAGGGAGAAATGAAAAAGACAAAAAAAAAAAAAATTAGACGATAGACGAGAGCAAAGCTTAAAGATAGATTCTATTAACTGAATTACATTTATTCACCCGTAGCTAAATTAAAAAGAAAATTGGCAAACATTTTCTTTTTTCTTTTGCAAATGGTGGCGTATCGTCAGTTTCAAAATATAATACAACGGGGAGGGAGGGAGGGGGTAGGGGGAAATTACGATTTATTTTTTTTTAAATTAAAAATTTTTTTTTTTTTTTGAAATCGAACATATCGCAGTTAATTATTTTCGTCTGCTTGATTTATTTAAAAAAAAAAGAAAAAAGTTATTTTATTCAAGAAGGAAAAGTGAAAAAAAAAAAAAAAAAAAATTGACCCTCGTTGGCGTGTCAACAAATTTTCTTTTTAAAAAAAAATTATTTTTCGAATTGGATTTACAATTGCAAACCTGAAAATTTTAAATTATAAATTTGGTAGCTCTGATTTAAAAAAAAAAAATACATTAAACGTCATTTGATGAAAACCTGGATATGATTTTTCAATTAATCCTTTTTGTTAATTTTGAATTTTTCCCTTTTCGAAAGTGATAAGAAAGGTTTTAACTGAAAAAGTTTTTTTCTTATCAATGTTATCACCAATTGTGATAACGATGGAGTCGTTCATTGGTTATCATAAAAAAAAAAGGGAATCGCAAAAAAAAAAAAAATTTTATATTTTTTTGTCTTCTTCCAACAAAGTTTTTTTTTTTTTGTGCTCTTATTTTATTTTATTTTCTTTTTATTTTTATTTTTATACCGGGGGGGGGGGAGGTAAGGGGAGGAGAGGGGAACCTAAAACAAACTTTTTATTATTATTATTATTATTATTTTTTTTTTTTTTGAGGTTTTTGTTGTCGTTGTTGCCGTTGTAAAATAAACTTTTTTTTTTTTTTAGGTGAAAGTTTCGAGAATTATGTACATAACTCAAAAATCAGAGTTTTCATTAAAATTTCAACTGAATTTTTTGTTTGTTTGTTTGTTTGTCTGTCTTTCGTTTTTTAAACAAAAAATGAAAAACAAAAAAGATGACGATATTTTTTTATTTATTTAAAACAAATAAAAAATTTTCTTTTATTTTTTAGTCAATCGATAATCTGTCCTTTTTTTCTCACTTGTAAGTGACAAAAACATTTAAAATCCTTTTTTATTTATTTCTATCTCTCTCTCTCTCTTTCTCTTTCTCTTTCTCTCTCTTATTGTAAAACGAATTAAAATAAACAAAAGAATGAAGTTTTTGAAAAAAAAGAGAGAGAAGAAAATTTGGAGAGTGTAAAATTGAAAAACGGTTTTCGGTATCCTTTGATTAAATGGGATAAATCTTATAGGAAAATTTTGAAAGTTTTTTTTTTTTTAGGGAAACGAAAAACAACGTTTTGTAGAATTAAAACAAAAGTAGAAAAAAAAGACATTAATTTATACGACAAACAAACAAACAAACAAACATTATAATTATCCAGGCAATTAAAAAAAAAAAAAATTTTTTTTTTTTGTTTTTTAATTTAGCGAAAACCCATTCAAACAAATGCGGTTTATTATTATTATTATTAACAAATTTTTTTGTTTTTGTTTTTCAGCTAGCAGAAATGGCGTCATATCTACTATACCCATAACACCAACACCGTTAAAAAATTTTCCAAAGCTTTGCGAGCAAAGACGAAAGTTTTCAGTTTTATATAAAGTGGAATTCCAGGTGAGAAAAGAGAGATGCTTCATTTTTATTTATATTGTTTATTTTTTTATTTTTTATTTTTTGTAAAATGAAAAGCTCACAAAAAAATGGTACGGAAGGGGAAGGGTTGAAAAAAGGTAAATTTAAAGAAAGGGGGGAGGAGGTACGAAAGAATAAAAAGAAAAAATGAGGAAAACTACGTGTCGTGAAAACATATAATGGAGTCGCGCGTGAAAATTCGCCATTTGCGAGAATGAAAAAAAAAATCCTTTAAGAATTTTTCCTTTTTTTTATTTTATTTTTATTCCCCCTCCCCCCCCGATTTTTTTCTCTTTCTTTTCTTTTTTTGTTATTTAAAAAGGAAAATTAATTTTTTTTTAAAACGGGGGACAAAGTAAAAAAAAAAACGCCTTCAAAGAGGTTGACTGCTGGGGTTATAAATAAACGATCGAGACAGAATTTAATTAGGCCCCGAAAACTTTTGTTTTTATTTTTATTATTATTATTATTATTATTATTATTATTATTATTATTATTATTATTATTATTATTATTATTATTGTGTTTTTTAGACGGCGGTTAAGGTCGAAACTCATTCTTGCAGGCATGCCACAAAGCCAGCCAATAAAGAAAAAAATCAAAATCCAAAGTGCATTCCTTGTAAGTTTTTCTATTTATTTATTTATTTATTTATGTATCTCTATTTTATTTTATTTTTTCGTATCGATTTCTAATAAATAATTGATTATCGATTACAATTATTGATTGGTCGTTAAAAATTTTTTTTGACAGATGATTACAACAGAGTAGTTCTCGCTACCGATGGAGATATACCAGATTCAGATTATATAAATGCTTCCTATGTAGATGTAAGTATTCGAATTATATATTTCTCTATGGAGAGAGAGATAGAGAGAAAGAGAGATAGAGAGAAAGAGAGATAGAGAGAAAGAGAGATAGAGAGGAGAGATAGAGAGAGAGAGAGAAAACCGCCCTCATAAAGTCTCTTTTTCAAACGAGATAATAATATGTAAAACAAACGAGATTTTTTTTTATTATTATCAGCGGTTATATAAATTATTATTATTATTGCCACGATATAAAAATGTTTATATATATTCGGATACAAAAAATCGTAGAGGAAAAAAAAAAGAGAGAGAGAGAGAGAGGGGAGAAGTCGTCGACTTTGTCGGCGGGATTGAATATCGATTTGATTTTATTTCGTACATGCGTTGTAGAAACAACAACTCGTTGTAGAAAATTTTTTTTTTCTGTTATTAAGAGTCAAATTCATCCTTGAGCTTCATTTTAAAAGTGTGTAGTAAACGTCACACTCGTGACGTATGCACTACAAGGTATAAACAATATGAAATTCTAGAAAATTCGATTCGATTCCTCCCATTTTGATTTGCTTCGTAAACGTCACGATATTAAATAATAATATAAATTTGATGAGATCGTTAGTGAGATTTAAATATAATCCGTTCGAAAAAAAAAAGAATAAGAGTGATTTAAAACCGTGGCTCCCCACTCTCTCTCTCTCTCTCTCTCTCTCTCTCTCGTATTGAATTTACTTATGTAGCATGAAATGTGAGTGTGTGTGTGTGTGTGAGTGAGTGCCTGGAAAAATTTTCGCATCATTTTTAAAATAAAAAAAACAATTATCGGATTTTTTCCGTCGTATAAATTATCCACCGATAATGATAATAATAATAATAATAATTTTTTTTAATAAAAACCGATTAAAAAATCGATAGAAGGAGATTTTAAAAAAAAATAATATATTTATTATACGCGAGCGTGAGAAAAAAAAAATTAATTTAATATTTCAATTATAAAATATATTTATCGAGTGACTGACGAAGAATTGGGGGGCGGGAGGAGAGGGGAGGGAAGAAAAAACGATCATAGATTGGGGGGGGGAAAAACCACAGATATTCAATTTTCCGACACTTTTACAATCAACAAGTGGGCAGGCGTAGGAATGTTGTGTAACGTGTAAGGTTTTTTCTTTTTTTTTCTATATTATTAATTTCGTTTTTAAAATTTACAACCTTTTTTTTCATTTTTTTTTTTTTTAATTTCTTTTTCTTCTTTCTTTCTTTTCTTCCTACCTTCCTCCATTTTTTTTTTTTCTCCCCCTTCGAAAGATAAATTTAGATTAATCGCGAACGAATTAATAATTTCTTCTTCAACAAGTTGATTAAATGAAAAAAAAAAGGTTTAATTACTCTATGATCTGACTTAAAATGACGACGACGGAAACGACGTGACGTGTGACGTCATGGTGGGTGACGTTAGAAACGTTTTATTTAAAAAAAAATAAAATAAAATAAATAAATTAAATAAATTTAATTTTACGGTGATGTAGTTTAATATATATATAGCGTCGCGTTTTTAAATGTAAAAACAAATTTGTTTTATTTATTATTATTATCATTATTATTATTATTAATTTCAAGGTTTGTGTTTAAACTTTTGTGTAAACGTTAAAAGTGAAATATTTACTATTTATTTTGTCCTTTTTTTTTTTTTTACTTTATGCGCATTTGAACAATATAAACACACACACACACACACGTTTTCATTTTCCAACGAATAAATAATTTAAAAAGGAAAACTAAGTGACGTCATTATTATTTTATTTTCAAATTGGCGACAAACGTATATTTTTTTTATTTGCGACAATCGTATATTTTTATTTGCGACAATTTTTTTTTTTTTTTGTTTGCAAGAAAGACATCGAATTACGTAATATTATTTCTAACGTTTAAACAATTAATAATAATAATAATAATAATAATAATGTAGAATATTTCGGAGAGAGAGAAAAAAAGAAGAGAAATTAATCGTTTGTCGCCGGATTGAAAAAATTTAAATAAACTTTTACGTTGTTGAAAAGTTAAACATGTCGTGACGATATAAAATTAAATTTTCACTCATTAATTGTAATTTTGCGGAAAGGAAATTCTAATGATAATGATGATAATTTTAATATTTTACACGTTTTCGTGACCGTCAGAAATTTACGATCGTAACCAATAAAAAAAAAATGTCACGAAATTGCATTAATTTTTTTTTTTTTCACTAAATAAATTTTTGATTTAATTGAATAAATTTGTAATAAATCACGCGAAAAGATGATTCAAATTTTTGGAAAACTCTGATAAAAATTAAAAATTAAACGATTTTTTTTTTTCAGAGTTTACTCAAACCGAATGCCTACATTGTAACTCAAGGGCCAACGGAAAATACAGTACAACAATTTTGGAAAATGGTGTGGCAAGAAAAAGCATCTTGCATTGTCATGTTAACAAAAACTTTTGATTTTATTAAGGTGATCATTATTATTATTAAATTTTTAAAATGAAATCCAACGTTGTCAAAATTGTTTTTTCCTTTCTTTCTTTCCTCCCTACAAGGTCATGTGCGTACAATATTGGCCGGCAGCAAAGGACAAAAGCGAATTGTATGGAGATATTGAAGTTAAAATCGTACACGAAGAAGAATTGGCAAATTTTCACATAAGAACAATCAAATTATCAAAATATGCCGATTCGGTAATTATTAATTTTTTTTTTACATTAATTTGTTACAAAAAGGTCGAAAAGGTTTCGTAATTAATAAATTTTATATAATTAAAGGCTGTCGTGGAAGAGCGTACACTCTTACAATTTCACTATACCGAATGGCACAGTCACACTTGTCCTTTTTCAAATGCATTATTAGAATTCCGTAGACGTATACGTGCTGTGATTGGTTCAAGAGCAAATCCCACGGGAGGACCTGTAATAGTACATTGCAAGTAAGTTCTCTCTTTTTAATTTTAACGGAATCACGATTGTCAAATCTTCAACTTTTTCCGTTTGTTTATCCTAGCGATGGAGGAGGAAGATCGGGTGTGTACCTGTCAATAGATGCCAATCTCGAACTTGCTGATGAAGAAGACTGCTTCAACGTATTCGGTTATTTGAAAAAACTTAGACAGTCAAGAAAAGGCCTTATCGAAAATGTGGTAAAAAAAAAAAAAACTCAAACATTTATTATTATTATTATTATTATTATTGGGAAAAGTCTTTGCTTAATTTTAATTTGGTTTCCGGTTTTTTTTCTCAGGACCAATATAAATTTGTTTACGATACTTTAGAAGAATTTGTAGTTTGTGGAGTGTCCTGGTTTCCGGTAAAAGATTTGTCAAATAGATTAAAACAAAAATCAATGAAAAATCCCACGACTAAATTTAACGAATATCAAAGAGAATTCCAGGTATTGAACCTTAAACCCATCGTGAAAATTCCCCCCCTTCCTCCCCCCACCCCGTCGTTTTTTTTTTGTCCATCAGATTTAATAAAATTTGTTTTTATTCAGCAAATTTGTAAACAAACTCCAAGATTTACAATCGGTGATTGTGCGGGGGGACACAGAGGAGACAATCATGAAAAAAATCGTGATGTTTTAATGGTTCCTCGTGAGTTTTCCATTTCCTTTTTTTTTTTTTTTTGAAATGTATTCACGCTACTCAAATTTATGATTTTTTAATTTTCAGCCGATAATTTTCGACCGTACCTTACTTCCTTTCAGGGCAATAGTTACACGGATTACATCAATGCCGTTTTTGTCGATGTGAGTCCTCTCATTCCATGTTAAAATTTGTTTAATTTTTAATAAATTAGTAAGTCTTCATTTTTTTTTGGTTTTTAAATTAAGGGTTACACGAAGCCGAGAGAGTACATAGTCACGGAATGGCCATTGAAACACACGTGCGGTGAATTTTGGTCTTTGGTTTACGATTACGAATGTTCAGCGGTTGTCGTTTTATGCGTCCCCCCGAAAAATTCAGTGAGTTTTTTTTTTATTTAAATCGTCCAAATAATTTTCAATCGATCGATCGATCGATTGATTGATTGATTGATTTATATTTATAATTTTTCACTTACAGCAAACATACCCTTCGTTTTGGCCGGAAGGTAGACATTCTAAAAAATATGGACCCGTTTTCACAATAGATCACATTTCACACAATCATTACACGAATATAAAAACTTGGATATTTAGAATAAATAAAAAGGTAAAAATGTGAACGAAACAAATTTTTATTTATTTATTTATTTATTAAATTGCACAGCTCGGATGAGCATGTTTAACAAAATTGTTTTGCGCAAATATGTGCTTGTCCGTAAAATAAAAAAAGTGATTTATTAAAAAAAAAATGTGATATTTTAAATCCTCTATGACTCTCTCTGTCTCTCTCTCTGTCTCTCTTTTTCTATATAATTTTCAAAATGATTTTATTTAAAATGGAAAATTATGAGAAAATTTGTTGTTTGTTGTGTCTGAATCACTTTGCAAAAATCGCTTTTAAATGTTTTTGCTTTGCTTTTAATATCAAACTAATATTTAGCTTGTCATTTTGCATGGATTGTTTTTTGACAATAACAGCACAGTAATCAGCTTCACAGGGGCACTATTGTACCTTGCGGGGAGGAACACAGGCAGGTGAGTTAAAGGAAAAAGCAATTTGTGTTTTTAGCATATTAACCCATGCTGCATTTATCGTTGTGATTGCACATTGCATAATTATTAAATTTGATTTCATTTCATTTGGTTTTTTTCGCAACGGTAAATATTATTATTATCGTGAAATGTTTTCAGATTGTTTCGTTAACGGAACTCATGGCGGGAGTTAAAGCTCCGGCTAAAACCGTTCAATTATTTCAACTCATGTGTTGGCCGATGGGACATAAAGTTCCGACATCGACAAATTCATTGGTAGAATTAATGAACATGGTGGAAAGATGGCGGCAAAGAACTGATTACGGTCCTGTGGCAGTCGTATCTCCGTAAGCAAACGACGTACATACGAATCTGATTTTTCTGTAATGAAAAAAATTTTACATTTTAAAAAGAAAATTTTTTTTTTTTTTTTTTTTTCCCGTAGCGACGGAAGGAGTAGGTGCGGAGTTTATTGTGCAGCCAACGCATGCATCGAACAGGTTATCCAACATGGTGAAGTTGATGTTTTTCAGGCTGTTAAAACCGTCCGGAGGCACAGGCCTCAACTAATTGAAAATATGGTGATGAAACGATGGGCAAACAAATGATTTTTAGGTACGAATGGATCAGAGTATATTATTATTATTTTTGTTTACAGACAGAATACAAATACTGTTACGACGTGGTTTTGCATTATGTCTTACATTATTTAGACAAAGACATGAAGGAAAAAAAGTGAGAAAGCGAGCTAACGGAGAACATTTGGTACGTCGAAGCTGGTAGAGGTACCAAAGTTCAATTATCACCCGACGAACACGAACAAACGGGAACGGAAGGAATACAAAATCACATAAAGGAAATATCCAATCATCCGGGATCGTATTCGCATAAGAGCGAAATGAGAAGATCACTTTACCAAAAGAAATTCCTTTCAAGGTCATCACTTTACTTGCCTAAATCCGTGGACCAAAATTTTGTCGCATTAACCGATTTTACCAGGCAAGCCAACTGTAATTGTTTCGAGAAAAAATTTCAAGTGCACGAATTTAGTGCAGCGGATTTTTCCGAATCCGAACATTCGTTGAAAGACGTCGAGGGTGGTTCGAGAACGTTCGACGATAGACGAACGGTCGAAGGTGGGAGTCGATTGTGTCGTAATTATTCGGATGAAAGTCATGAAAAAATTTACGGGGCCGTTCTCAATCGTATGGATGTACCCAACAGGAAAAGGGAGGAACCCGGAAAAAAAAATTATTTCGAAGAAGAAAGAGAATCGTGGGGAGAAAGCAGGAACAGCGTTTGGTCAGTTAAATTCGAAAGAGACGATGATGATGATGATTCTTCGATAATTGAAATGTCCGAATTCATGTCGTCGACATCTTCTCCTTTCATGAACGAATCGAAAAAATTATTCCTTTCCGACGTCGTACCCGACACAGTTGAAAATTCACCAAAATGTTCTCCCGGTCGATATTTAGACAATCACACGATAAGAATAAACTCAGGAATAAGGAAAAGAGATAGATTTAGAAGGAGTAAAAGAGTCACCGTTTGTTTGGATGATGAACCCGATGACCCTTTACCACCACTTTCGGAGGGTTGCAAAAAAGTCACGCTATCGAAATTGCAGTCATGTTCATTTGGGGAGTCGTCGATGGGGGATGCCTACGATTTTTCACAATTGGAAAACATTGTTGCATCGTTCGAATCGGACGTGTGCGAAGTGTCAAGACCCGATTACGAAGCTTTTTGCAAAGCCGTGACTTTTTCAAATAGAACGTTTCAAGAACAAACGAAAAGGGAAAAGAAAGATGGCGGAGAAGAAGAAGGGGAAGCGGGTAACGATGAAGATGGTAAGGAATCAGGTCAAAAGGTGCAGTGCAGGGTGCTGTAGCCACGACAGCATTAATTTAAATAAATAATCAATCAATCGGTAAGATGGAAGAAGAGATGATTGGATGACTTTTAAGACTGGTCAGAATTTTAAAGTTTTTTTTTCTTTTTTTTTTTTTATAATAATACCTGACGTGCTTTGTCATCCATAATAATAATAATAATTTGTAAAAAAAATTTGTAAATTAAAAAAAAAAAATGGAAAAGTGCAGTGCACACACGATTTATATGTATGTACCCACGTAAATAATATATAAATAACATAGAGTAAATAAACAATAGATTTTGATATTAAAAAAAAAATTAACCGTTATAGGCGATTATTATTGTGATACGAAATAATTTAATAATAATAATAATAATTAAAAAATTGAGCTTTAAAAAGATAAATTAATAAAAAGCCAAAATTAAAAAAACCATCCGTTAATAAATAAAATAAATAAATAAATAAAGTCTGCTGCTTCAAAATTCTCAATTATAAGATTTGTTTTTATAATAAAAATGGCGTAGATTTTTTTTAAACAAATGAAAAACATAATAATAATAATAAAATTTGGTAACGAATTATAAATATTAAACAATTTAAATTTGAAAGTAATAATAATAATAATGAATAATTGAATTTTTTTTTTTTTAATAAGAGAAATAAAATTTTTTCTTTTCTTTTCATTTTTAAATTTTGGCGCCAAAATAAATTCAATTTAAAAAAATCATCGTGTACAAAATTTATATATATATTTATTTATTTATAATTAATTAAATGTATTTCGCGTGAATGCGATTATTAAAAAAATGAAAGTTATTAATGTTGATTTTATACGCCATTTTACAATTTGAATAATAATAATAATAATAAATAGTGCGAATAGCTGGTCTAATCGTATTTAATCATTAAAAAAAACGTATTATTGTTGTTTATTTTAAATGCCGATAAATAATTTTGTTGTACTAATATTATATATATACATAAATATATACATTATAACTTATTTTTATTTAATTTATGTCTTATTTATTTTATTATCATATTAATAAATAAATCCTTTTTATTAATCAATAATGAAAACCTCTTACGAAGGTTTAAACAATAAAAAAAACCTAAGATGATAAATTTAAAAAAAAACAATTTATTATTATTATTATTATTATTAATATTATAATTATCACGATTTATTATAAATAATATAAATGAAAAATCACATAATAATACTAATAATTTGAAATATTTATTAATTTTTTTTAAAAATTACTTGTACTACACGCTATTGAAAAATAAAGCTTTCTCATATAATAATATTAATAATAATAATAATAATAATAATAATAAAACTTAACAAAAAAAAAATATGTATAATGTATATTATATACAAAAAATTTTTATACTCGGTTAATATAATAATTGTCATGAAATATTCTTTTAATTATTTTCCAACGGGTAACTTTTTAAATTTTCCTACTTATATTTTATGTACTAAAATTTTTTAAAAAGGATTTTTCATATAAATAATAATGATAATAATAATAATAAAGCTAACGACTTTTTTTTTTTTATTAATTTGTTATTTAATTTAACTGTTTATGTAATTTTTTATGTCTTTTTTTTTCGGACCTTTTATTTATTTATTTAATTTATTTGTTTTGCAATGGAATGATAACATTTTAAAGTGTAAGAAAAAGAAAAAATATAAATAAATGGTTTCACAAAAAAATTATAAAGTATAAGAAAAATTTTTTTTGCGCTTTTCCTGAATTCACCTAAATATATATATAAAAAAAAAAAAATTTTTAATGATCATAACACGAATGATTTATACGTGGCTGTCCATGATGTGACGGTGGACCATGATGGAAATTGAGCTAACATTTTTGAAAATGACGAATGAGTTTTACCCGGACCGTGTAATATGTGTCCATTTAAAGCAACGTCCATTAGTGTTTTATTGTACGAAGAAACCTGAGAAATATAAAAAAAAAATTAAAATTAATTTTCCTTAATAAACTTGACAATTTTTCTTTTCGAAAATAAAAAAGAAAAACCTTAAAATCTAACGAAACTATCCACGGCTCGGCATTTTCCGAACTCGCATAATAAACAAAATAAGTTTCCCGATCGTTCCACGTGGGTCCTTTGACGGGTTCCACGTCATTAAGGGACCATTTTAAAAATTTGACATTTTTCTTAGGAGATATAACGAGTCCCATGTGATCCGGTCCTGTTATTTCCAACGTTATCCTTTCGACGTTTTCCCTTATCACGGCCCTGGATAAAACTTTCAAATTCGTTGATTTGACTATTTTATGCGGATGACTCGGAATCCAATGAGTTTTCCTGCCGTCAAAATTTTTGTATTAAAAATAAAAATCATCCGACGAGTGAAAATCATTTTTTATACAAATTCCCTCACCTAATAAAACTAAGAACGGGCATCAAATAAGGCAAACCGCAATAAAGGTATTTATCACAATCCTTATCGAGGGAAATTCCCCGAGACACTTCAGGTACGTAAGGCGACACAGAATACGGACTGTTGTAATCGTGATCCACGATCCAATACCCGTATTGTAAATCGATTTGTTCACCTTTTGCATCGTAAAAACTCCTCTCGGTGAACTAAATAAACAAAAAATCATAAAATAATTTCCACAATAAATTACATTATTTAAAAAGATAATAATAATGATGATTTCTTACCACCACCATAAACCTTTGAGGTCTCGGAGTTTCCGGATTTCCAGAATATGGAAATCCGAGAGGAGTGAACAAAAGTAAAACTAAAGAACTTGTAAAAACGACGAAAACGTACGTAAAAGTCTTTTTAGGATTATCTACGACCACAACAATGGCGGACTGAAAAACAAAAATAAAAAAAAAATTTTGATTTTTCTCGTCGTAAGCCATCGCGTCCGGTCGGCAAGAAAAACGAAAGGAAAAAAGGTTCTTACAATGTAAGCCACAAGCATTCCAAACGTAATATTAGAAAACAAAGCGATGACTATTTCGGAATTAAGGCTGGTACCTGACCGGCCCATGATGGGTATAAAAAGTGATAAACACCCGATTTGCATGCTTGAATGTTGAATGACGGGTAACGACACGCTTAGGAGTAAGTACGAAATCCATTTCCAATCAGGTCCTGCGACAAAATAAAAAAATGACCGTCGTTTCCATTTTTCGGGGCTGGGGGGAAGGGGGGGGAAATTACGAACCTCTTTCCAGAGGGGACGCAATTAATCTGTGGATTAAAATACCCAAACAAGGACCGATTACCCACATCCAAGCGATGTAACCGGATCTCACACGTAATATAATTGTAATTGATAAAACCATTGTCCATAAAAATTGATAAACATCAAAATACATTTGAAAAATAACCATTTTGGATTTTATCACCTGAAAGTATACAGTTATAATAATAATAATAAATTCGTCCTTTGTCGTACGGACGACAAAGCGGGGGGGGGGGAAGTGGAAAAGGAAAATTCTCACAACTCACGCGAGTAAAATTTTTCGATAAATAATATTGAACGGCAGTGAAAGCGGAAATAGATGGCATTATGTAAAGGAATAAAATCCAAATGGGACGATTGTACCAACTCATGGATTTTCCAACGAACGAAACGAAACATGAAATTAAAAAAGCCGTTAGAAAACTAATCAGACTTGCCAACATGACAATTCCCAATGTTTTTCCCAAGTACTTTAAATACGTTTGGATTTTTATGCCTGAAAACAAAAAAACAATAAACAATAAACAATTTTTTTTTTAAAAAATATTATCGTGAAATCGATATCGTGTGCAACCATTAGAAAAAAAAAAAAAAAAGGAAAACCAATTTCATTTTTTTTTCTTCTTTTCAATTCGACGAAGAAACAAAATAATAATAATATTAACAAAAGAGAAAAAGAAAAAAAGTGAAAACAAAACACGCGACGACGATATTAAATTTATAATTTATTTATAATGTATATTTTTAACAAAAAAAAAAAAAAAACAGGTACCTTTTCTTTTTCTGACGTCATTAACGCTTACGCATAAAAGGAAAAATGATAGGAAAACTGTACAAATATTAATTATCGTTCCGACATCTTCCGACCATCTCACCAAATATAAACCCAGTACATCGAAATAAATCATGTTTCCATCTCTGTTTTCATGTGCATTTTTCATTTCTTCTGCTTCGGACAAACCTTTTATCAATTCTAGTATGTTTTCACCCGTTCTTTGCAATGCTCCCAAAGGTATTTGTTCGACGTTATCAAATTTTGTATGATAAACGTAACCGTTTGTGGACCAAGCAAAATCCAAACCTGTCAAAAATTAATTATAATTTAATGTGACAATCATCATCATCATCATCATCATCATAGTTATTAATTATCGATTTAAAACCCCACGAAAAAATTTTTTAAAACAACCGGAAGTTATCGTAATCAAACGTTTTTTGTTCGAATGGGGAAATTTATATCTTGAAAAAAAAACAAAATGGCGGTTAAATGATGTTAACTCCGTGAATTAAAATTTTTATTTATTTATTTATTTATTTTTTTTTCTTTTCTGCTTGTTTTCGAAGAATTGGTACTAATGACAAAACAAAGGTAGCCATTGTTAAAGGTATCGATTAGAGAGAGAGAGAAAGAAAACTTTTTAATTAACAAAACAAAAATTCTTTTGTTTTTCCTTTAAAGTCGAGGGCCGAAAATAATTGATTGGGGGGGCGGGCATCGAAACAAAAAAAAAAAAAAAGTCATTCGAAAAAATTTTTCCCTTGTTTTCTTTCATTTTGTGAAAAAGGTTTACTATTATTATTATTATTATTATTATTATTATAACGACAACGAAATCGTGAAAGAAAAATAATTGATAAAACTGTTTAAAAATTAATAAAACCGTGTTAAAACCAAATCAATTTTTTATTTTCATTTCCCCTCCCTCTCTCTTCCCTCCCCGCCGAAACAAAACAAAACAAAAAAAACCCCTTTGACTTGAATTATTTATTTGAATTTTTCCCTTCCCTTCTCTTTCCCCTCCCTTATTTTTCCTTTCTCTCTATCCCCTTTCCACCCCTCTACGATCTTGTTAAAGTATCCCTTTAAACTAAATTTTTTACCTATCGCCACTGAGGGATTATTAACGATAATAATAATTATTTTCCTTAAATATTAACGGGGGGGGGGGGGGAGGGAGGAAACAAAGAAATTTGAAATTTTCCCGGAAACGTTTCCAAAATCTCTAAAAACTTTGAAATCTGTATCGCCTGGAATGACGCCACTTTCGAAAACTTCTTGAGCCAAAGATGAAGCAAAAGGATACAAAATACTTTTCGCATAAACCTGAAAAAAAAACGACAAATAATACCTGAAATAAATTTTCGATTTAATAACGTTACATGACAACTTAAAATAACACGACCCCCTTTCCCCCTCTCCGAAAAATTGAAGGCGACGACCTTTTATTAACAAAACCATAAACAAAAAAAAAAAAAAAAAAAAAAAAAAACCAATTTAAAAAATCCCTCGATGATAATAATAATAACAACTTATCGATAAGGTTTAAGGAATCATCGCGAGTAATAAATAAAAAAAAAATGCATTAATAAAAAGTTATTAGTAATAATAATAATAATAATAATTTTAAATTTAACGACGTGTAAATTAAAAATTATTATTATAAATGACGTAACGAAAATATATATATTTAAAAAAAAAAATTTATATTCGAAAACTAATTAATGTAAAAGAAAAGAAAAGCTAATTAATTAATTAATTTTTTATGTTTCCTTTTACCCAATAGTAGTAGTAATAATAATAATAATAATAATAATAATAATAATAATAATAATAGCTTGTTTTTCTTTTATTTACGACCTGCAATTAAAATTAAATTTGAATAATAATGACAATCACAAAACATTCATGTTTATGTTTATGTTTTTATCTCTTTCTAAATGTATTATTGAATTTGTGACCGAAAAAAAAAAATTAAAAACAAACGAGGAAAACAAACAATTATTTCCGGTTTGTTGTTGTTTGTTTCTCTCTCTCTCTCTCTCTCTCTCTCTCTCTCTCTCTCTCACTT